ACAAACAGCTACCTACACTACTGTGTTATTATAAGACACTAACTACACTACTGCTGCTGTATTAACAAAACGCTACCTACACACTGCTGTTATTAATAAACAACTACACTCGCTGCTGTTATTAAAAGACAGCTACACTACTGCTGCTGTTATTAATAAGAACACTACATCTCTTCTGCTGATATTAATAAAACGCTTACTACACTACTGCTGCTGTTATAATAGAACACTACACTACTACTACTGCTGTTATTAATAAGACAGCTACACTACACTAATGCTGTTATTAATAAAACAGCTACACTACACTACTGCTGCGTTATTAATAAGAACAGCTCACTACACTACTATGCTGTATTAATAAGAACAGCTCACTACTGCTAATGATATTAATAAGAACAGCTACACTACATACTAACTGTATTAATAAGAACAGCTATACTACTGCTGCTGTTATTAATAAGAACAGCTACACTACTGCTGCTGTTATTAATAAGAACAGCTACACTACTTCTGCTGTTATTAATAAGAACAGCTACACTACACTACTACTGCTGTTATTAATAAGAACAGCTACACTACACTGCTGCTGTTATTAATAAGAACAGCTACACTACTGCTGCTGTTATTAATAAGAACAGCTACACTACACTACTACTGTTATTAATAAGAACAGCTATACTACACTACTGCTGCTGTTATTAATAAGAACAGCTACACTATACTACTACTGCTGTTATTAATAAGAACAGCTATACTACTGCTGCTGATATTAATAAGAACAGCTATACTACACTACTGCTGTTATTAATAAGAACAGCTATACTACTGCTGCTGTTATTAATAAGAACATCTACACTACACTGCTGCTGTTATTAATAAGAACAGCTACACTATACTACTGCTGCTTTATTAATAAGAACAGCTACACTACACTACTACTGTTTTAATAAGAACAGCTATACTACACTACTGCTGCTGTTATTAACAAGAACAGCTACACTACACTACTACTGTTATTAATAAGAACAGCTATACTACTGCTGCTGTTATTAATAAGAACAGCTACACTACACTACTACTGTTATTAATAAGAACAGCTACACTACACTACTACTGTTATTAATAAGAACAGCTATACTACTGCTGCTGTTATTAATAAGAACAGCTATAACCAGGTGGCGAATCGCATCTCTGCATGTCTGGCAGACATATCAGTATGGATGACGGATCACCACCTCAAGCTGAACCCTGGCAAGACGGAGCTGCTCTTCCTCCCGGGGAAGGACTGCCCGTTCCATGATCTCGCCATCACGGTTGACAACTCCGCTGTGTCCTCCTCCCAGAGTGCGAAGAGCCTAGGCGTGACCCTGGACAACACCCTGTCGTTCTCCGCCAACATCAAGGCGGTGACCCGCTCCTGCAGGTTCATGCTCTAACAACATTCGGAGAGTACGACCCTGCCTTACACAGGAAGCGGCACAGGTCCTAATCCAGGCACTTGTCCATCTCCCGTCTGGACTACTGCAACTCGCTGTTGGCTGGCCTCCCTGCCTGTGCCATTAAACCCCTACAACTCATCCCAGAATGGCCGCAGCCGTCGGTGTTCAACCTTCCCAAGTTCTCTCACGTCACCCCCCTCCTCCGCACACTCCCACTGGCTTCCGTTGAAGCTCGCATCCGCTACAAGACCATGGTGCTTGCCTATGGAGCAGTGAGGGGAACGGCACCTCTGTACCTTCAGGCTCTGATCAGTCCCTACACCCAAACGAGGGCATTGCGTTCATCCACCTCTGGCCTGCTGGCTCCCCTTCCCTCTGCGGAAGCATAGCTCCCGCTCGACCCAGTCAAAACTGTTCGTTGCTCTGGCACCCCAATGGTGGACAAGCTCCCTCACGACGCCAGGACAGCAGAGTCACTCACCACCTTCGGAGACATTGAAACCCCACCTCTTTAAGGAATACCTGGGATAGGATACAGTAGTTCTTCCACCTAACCCCCCCCCCACCCCCCCCCCCCCCCCGCCCCAATTGTAAAGTGGTATCCACTGGCTATAGGTGAACGCACCATTTGTGAGTCGCTCTGGCGAAAAAAGCGTCTGCTAAATGCGTTATGTGCCCTTGAGCAAGGCACTTAACCCTAATTGCTCCTGTAAGTCGCTCTGGATAAGAGCGTCTGCTAAATGACTAAATGTAAATGTAAATGTATAAAAAAATGTTATTAATACAGTAAAACAGCAAATAACGACTCTCTCTGTTATAATAAGAACAGCTACACTAAACACTGCTGCTGTTATTAATAAGAACAGCTACACTACTGGCTTATTAATAAGACAGCTACACTACCCGTACCTTGCGGCATTTTATTAATCAAAACAGCACCACTACTGCTGCGTTATTAAAAGAACAGCTTTTTTAACCCAAAAAAACACACAAAAACACTACTACTGCTGTTATTAATAAGAACAGCTTACAACACTACCTGCTGCTGTTATTAATAAAGAACAGCTACATACACACTACTGCTGTTATTAATAAGAACGCTACACTACCTTCTGCTGTTTAT